TATAAGTCTTATTCTTAGCATTAGTCCTGCTTTGGTGGAGTCTGCTTTTTTCCTCTCTTTTTGGAGGTTGCGTAATCTATTTAGACACTTGGTGGGACTCCTTGGACGAGTGATCAGTCTTTCGCAAGGCCTCTACTTACACAGGACAGCACAACACGGAAAGATGCGGACAGACACCCAGACGACTTGATTGGGATTCGAACCCATTTTCCCAGTGACCAAGCGGCACAAGGCCCACGCCTCAGACCGCGCGGCCACCGTGACCGGTGTAACAAAATATATTAATTGAAAATGCTAATTACTGTTGTTAACATTAGGGTTTCATTTAGAGGATGAAAGAGAATTTCCTCTGCAGATAGAACAGATGTTACTAAAATATAAATTGAGTAGAGAAGCGTAATTTCCTTTTGTTACTACCTTGGCAACAGTGAAGGACTGACGTGTTTTTGAAATATGCAGCACCAGTTCAGGGTCATTTGTGATACACTTCTTCCCATTGTGGATTAGGTGAATCACCTGTGCTGGCCTTACTTCATGAACATTCATGAATGTTGACAGGCTGAAGTAACCAGTTTAAGTGTCTCTAAGTCTACTACTGCTGTTTCTCCTGTTCTACCTTGTGTTGTTGTTTCAGTAAGCTCTTATGGCCTTGTACACAGTTTCCAGTCCTTGCTCGAGGTTCTACTGTACAAAGAACGCAACGCAAAGTTTTTGTATGGTTTTCTGACCATGAATTCAGGCCAGTGTTTACAATAGACTCACTCTGAGAAACAACTTTTGAAAATTGTGCTGGCTGTTATGCAGACTTTCAGTAATTATTATGTATTAATTATTTGTAAGAATATATAAGTCTTATTCTTAGCATTAGTCCTGCTTTGGTGGAGTCTGCTTTTTTCCTCTCTTTTTGGAGGTTGCGTAATCTATTTAGACACTTGGTGGGACTCCTTAGACGAGTGATCAGTCTGTCGCAAGGCCTCTACCTACACAGGACAGCACAACACGGAAAGACGCGGACAGACACCCAGACGACTTGATTGGGATTCGAACCCATTTTCCCAGTGACCAAGCGGCACAAGGCCCACGCCTCAGACCGCGCGGCCACCGTGACCGGTGTAACAAAATATATTAATTGAAAATGCTAATTACTGTTGTTAACATTAGGGTTTCATTTAGAGGATGAAAGAGAATTTCCTCTGCAGATAGAACAGATGTTACTAAAATATAAATTGAGTAGAGAAGCGTAATTTCCTTTTGTTACTACCTTGGCAACAGTGAAGGACTGACGTGTTTTTGAAATATGCAGCACCAGTTCAGGGTCATTTGTGATACACTTCTTCCCATTGTGGATTAGGTGAATCACCTGTGCTGGCCTTTGCACAGAGCCAGCTCAGTAGTGGGGCTGACACCACCTCATTCCTCCTGAGCTCACAGGATGTTTATTTGGGTCATCTTCCTTGGACATCCTGCCTTCACCGTGGCTGTCACAATTTCGTCCACTCATTGTCGGTTACCCTCAGCTTCCCCTCACCTCTTACCAGCTGGCAAGCTGGTCATTGACGAGACTTTTCTAACATGTCCGTCTGGTACGAAACACATTTCAGTTAGCATAATGAGTTTCATTGATATATGAAATTCAGTACTTCCCTCCTAACTGAATCAAGTTTGTAAGATTTGAGGTTTTCA